TTTCTTTGGTATCAAGACTTGAAGACTGATTATTAACCTTTATATTCCCTTCGACATCTCCAAAAACTCCAAGCAAGTATAAACATGCACAATACACTCACTCGTCTCCATCGCACGAGCCGGTTGATATTTAGCCACAGGTCAAAAACCTACATTTCTCTTATTGTAAATGTTTGCACACAGCTTTCCTTTCCATTTAAGCTAGTTTACAAAAGTCAGTGATTTAAAACGGTTAAATGAAATGCTTGCTACTTCTGTTAGAATCTTTGAGTGGGGCAGTGTGTGTTAATGTGTGGCTAGTTTTCATCCAAAGTCCCATTGTACATGTTTATAGTGGTAGGGGAGACCTGAGCGCATGGAGGAAACCCGGGAGAAAATGCAAAATCCACGCTGGAAATCCACTGTGCCACATGGGATTCCAACCCAGAACCTTGAGGCAATTGAATCAACATTGTAATTTGAATAGTAGCAAAAAGAAACGGCGGCAATAATTGAAATAGTGTAAATAACTCAAATGAGAGACAATATTAATTCATAAAAGCATGATACACATTAGGAGTGTGGCGATATATAAATATTTCGATATATCGCGATACTTTCTCCCACGATCGATTATCAATATGCATTTGCCATGTATCAATTTTGAAAAAAAATTTGTATCAATACTTTACATGGCTACATTACACATCTCCATTCCATTTATCATTAAATAAAGTGTATTTTTTCACTAAACATTTTTCTATTTTATGTATGCCATATATTGGCATATGGTATATTACCAATATATCGATAATCGTGATATCGTGATATAATCTTTGTATCGCGTATTGTATAGTATCGTGAGGTACCCTTAGGTTCCCACCCTTAATACACATTGCCAATTGTGATAACAATGATAATCCACCAAGCTGTATTGTATCTGACTGAAAAAAACCCAATGCTGTCATTAGGGCTGGGCGATATGGCAAAAAAGTAAAATCTCGATTTTATTTCCTGCTTTGGACGATTTCGATTTTAAATTGATTTTCATTAAAGTTTGCCCTTAAAAATATTTTTAGATCTTTCCGCTCAATACCAGAACCATTTTGATTTTGTTTCCCCCAATACGTATTATAAAAGTCTTGTACTGACTGTGCTGATATTGCAAGTATAATTCATGTGCTGCTGGAACTCACAATATCCTTCATTCGATTTCACGATTTTAACATTTTTCACGATTTCGATTTTTTCAAAAGCCGATTAATTGCCTAAATTCGATTTATTGCCCAGCCCTAGCTGTCATGTTTATTTTTACATCCCTTTTGTCGTGACTGCCACTGACACCGCACCTTGGTTTGTTCCTAGACGCGTTGAGCACTCAAATACCTGCAAATCACAGTTGCTATTTCTAAAAGTTAATGTTGGTCTAGTTCTGGAAGAGCACAGTACCACTTACAGTATATTGTTCACACACTGTTTTGGACCCAAGATACACTCGCTCGCACCCTAAAGTTTAGCACTGGTTGTGGGAACTTATTTACTTATTTACATAGAACCCCAGTACTCTGATTAATATAATTATAGTAGTTTAGTATCTCAGATCTCTTCTGTCTAATTTTGATGCGTCTGGTCTTGTTCCTTCATAAACCTCAACATTTGTCATAAAATAATCTCAATTAGATATTTTGCCAAACTCGTTCAGCCAAAGTAAGGCCTTTTCTTTTTTTTACACCTGTATGTTTTTCCAGCTCTTTGTTGGCTTTAAACTCCTTGGCCCCAGAGCGGAGAACAGGTCTCATCACACCATTAGCACATCACAACAGCTGCACACGCTCCACTCATCCTCACAACAAAAGGGACCTGGGCCTGAAGGCTGCACTGTCAGCTACAAAGACACATGCTGTAAAAGATATTGTCCTGCTTCTGACATCACGTTTTAGAGCAAGGAGCAAGCACTTGGACCACCTGGTACAATGACAAGTTCATGAGGTCTCATGATTCTCCACTGAACATCTACGCTAAATTATTTTTTTATCTTCAAAGTTTATAATGTTTGATACATTGTTCTACATGTTGTTCCTGTGTTTATGAATCTAAAGTTACTCTAAATTAAAGTTGAGATTATACTAATAATATTACATATGACAAATGTGGTAGTCCAAAATTGTGCAGAAAGATGTCATAGTAAGACTTGAATTAAAAAGAAAACTTCTAGAAAGATTAGAATTGAATGGTATAATTCCAATAGGGTGTTCTCCACTCATTTTCATTAGTTTCAACAATATCAGAACAAATCACCAAAAAGCCCCCAATAAATCATAGGGATCATAGTTTTTTTTGTAGGATGAGATCAAATACCTTCACATCCAAGAGGACTTGTCTAGTAAACCATCTATTCTCAGAGCTTCTGAATGGACAGTTCTGTCCATGTCCGCTGTGTAAAGAGTGAGTCACAGTGGGGCCTCTTTCAAAGAACCTGGGGTGGTCTTTACAGACACAGGACGTACAGTAGCAATGAGAGCTCTCTAGACAGGCTGGCTCTGACTAACAGTCATTAGTCCACACATGTTGTCATCTCTGTACCACAATCATGGCACAGCTTATCTGAGCATGAGGTAGTCACACTCTCCTCTTTGTGTTACGGGCAACAAAAGAGCTCTTTTACAACTGAAGATGCCCAGCACTCATCACAACACGGCACATTCCTGAAACCATGGCCAAGTCAGCAAATTGTTTATACTGCAGTTTATTCTTAGTCCTGCTCATGCTTTGCTTTAGTCTTGGTCTTGGTCTTGGTTAGACCCTTCATGAAAGAGAGCGTTTACAAGGGAGGAGAGAAAACCGGATAACTTGCCCAGTCCAAATTAAATCAATTGAACAACAGGCATGTAGCCGGGCATGCCGACTCAGGTGTGACATTTCAATGCATTTGGGATACAGTCGGTGGTCAGGACCCGTCTTGCTCAATATACACCCGGTGCTCTTCATGAACACAGAGACAAATGTATTATTATAAATGAAGAACACAGTTTTATTATAGTATGAAGTGGCCCTCACGTGGACCAGAGTGGTCAGTGCTTAACAGCCTAAAACTGTCACTGAAGGTAATATCTCTGCGTTGCTTTTGTACCATTTCATCAGTGATTGTTGTACAACAAGAAGTTGCGCTAGTGCTAATGTTTGCATATAGATCACAAATAAAACTAGATTGCTCCGTGGGATGAGAGCGTAGGGGAAATGAGAAGCCTGTGAGCGAGTTGAGGGGCGGTGCTAAACATTCAAACCTTGCAGAAACAGGTATAGCTCCTTTAAGATAAAACAATAACTGTTATACTTGTTTTAGTTCTTGTGTGTCACAAGGAACAACAAGGCAGAAATACACCTGGTGAATTAGAGTAACAACACAACAACAACAAACACTGTATGTTTAAAAGTAAAAAAGTACTGTCCAACTCAGACCCTAACCCTTACTCAATGATAATTAGGAAAATTTAGTGTTCATTCATGCAGGGGTGGTTACTTTTATAATTTTGTGCTGAAAATGTTGTAGTGAGGGCTGTAACTTGTAAGTATTTTGATCATTGCTAATGTTATTCTTTCCATTTTAATGGTAATGGTAACTATTTGCTGTTGTATTGGTTCTATTTGTTATACTGTTTAATGTCTAATGTTTCAAGTCTATTCCAAATGAACTTGTTTAGGATTTGTAGTGGTTTTTTCTTCCTTTGATTATAAAGTACAGTAGAACAAGTTTGACTACTGAGGGGGAAAAAACTAAATGTAAAGCTCGCTGCTGCCTGAATAGTGACCAGCAAGTACTTGGACTATTCGACAACAATTAAATCAATACTTTAGCGTGTACATGTTAATTAAAGGGCCCACCACGGGACATTCCTGAAGGGATTGGGACATGAATAGATGTGAATGTGATAGATTCATTTGTATGCTCCTCGCTGGCTGCTTGGCGAGTTGTCAAGACCCACTCCAGAGTTTGGATCAAGGAAAAAGAACTGGACTCGGCTCTCTTCCAATTCATGGCCCAATGCGATGTTGTCTTTGCCCCAACCCCAGTGAGGAGACCCGCTTTTGTCTGGCAGTAATGTCTGGTATGCCGGGATACAGGTCCTGCTCAATGACCTGATTTCTATGGAGTTGCGGAGGGACTACTCATGGCCAATGTGTGTGTAGTTAGCAGTGCTTCTGCCTCAGAGCTTTTCCTTTGGATAAGACACAGGGTTTATCCAGGCAGACAGAGGCAGACCCAGGGAGATAGAGCCAATAAGAGACCACATGTACAGTGGAGCATCGAGTAAACAAACATTAGCCTGGAGTTCCCATAGCAGGGAGAGGAACATAATTACACATGGGTAATTCAAGTCAGAGAAATTATAACTGACAAGCGTTACATGAAAACAAACCAGAGTTCAATTTGTAAATTTGTATAGAGTCCTGTTCATGGTCAATTATTTAGATACACGTTTAATTTGTCTATATTTTTCTTATGGTTATTTAGTATGAATTGACTGTTTGATGAAGTAGAGTCGTATGTTCATATTCATAAATATTATTTGCTTTTAACCCTTCACGTATTTTTTTGATGTATTTATGTACTTCTGATTATTTTGCTTTGTTTTGTCGTTTGCGGTTTTGTATTTTAATCTGTAGCACTTGAGGTTTCGCGGAAATGTAAGGTGCACTATAAATAAAATGTATTATTAATTATTATTATTATTATATACTTATGTTCTATGTGTTTTGCATTGTTCAAAACATGATTAATTCATTCGTTCAGGTTTGAAGCTGCGTATCAAGTTAGCTGATGTACATCTCCAAATAATTATATTGTAATTCATAGAAAATAAATTACATAAATTGTATTGTAAACGTCTAAATCTTCTGAGGTTCTGAGGTTTAGGCTGACCGGCATGTACGGTGTGTTTAGTCATATCACTGAATGTATTTATTGCACAAACAGCTTCCAAGTGCTAATGGTGTAATAACAAAGAATGCTGGTGTCATACCTTGTCTCTGGATGAAGACCCGGAGCAGAGGGTGGGCCGTGGACACAGCTTTACAGAAGTTGTCGTCGTTGTTGATGGGCAGCAGGTCTCCGTGGATATCTGCGTAACAGATCATCACTTCCATGTTGGCGATGCGATGGATGTGCAGGATGAGTTTGTAAAACTCCTCAAATTTTCCTGGTTTGAGGCGGTCGACTGAGAAGCGCCGAAACTCTGCGCCATACTGGAGAGAGACAGAAGAGAAATAAAGTTTATAACTCCTAGACGATTTGGGATGTCAAGAACTTATTTGGGTCCGAAAAAGCATAAATACAATCTTAAGAATTTCACAATATTTCTCAAATAAGCAAAATCAAGTATTATTACATTCTTGTTGGAAAAAAGTACTTCATAATGCATTTCCCAAATTGTTGACCAGTGATTGTTCAGACTTAGCTTATGATGGACTTTTTCAAGCTCCAAAAATTATTATGAATGTTTGGACTCTGCTGCTTAACATTTCACTTATTTTTCAATAGACTTTTTATTCCATCTCCTGAATATTTTGTCTCGTTGCATATTGAAGCTCTACGTGGAACCTAAGATCAAACCGTCATGTACAATTATCATCCAAGTGGGTTTACGCTTTGGATCAGGCTCATATGATCAATGTCAACCAACTAAATACATCACCCTGATGAGTCAACTCTCCCAATATGCTAATACATGAATGACATTGGCCACGCCTCCAAACAAACGTCCACAATTGCTCCGGAGCTTCCCCCGACGAGCTCAATAAAGGAGTGCTGCGAGAGAACAGGGGAGGGTCACTATGGGGTCGCCACTGCACACAGAGAGAGGGGCGCGGGACGGTCCCAGGCCACAAAAGCATGTCCCAATAAATTCTACACCAACTGGTATCTCAATCACTCAGCCAGTAATTTGTGAACGCCTTCTTACTGTAAAGTCAGAAAAATCTAGAGCAAATTGGAAAACAGCTCCACTATGTAATTACGGTTTGGCGTACAGTAAGTTAGCACATGAACTCACAGGAAGTCAAAACGTAGATATAAACACATATATTTTACTCAAAGACATATAATAACAAAAAGAACTACAGTCGTCGTCCTATGCTGAACTTTAAATGTTGGGGTTTTTTGATTACCCTGGTTGGATCTCACAATCTGCCTTTAGCTTTAGAGACAGACGTGGAGAAGAGTATCAAGCACATCAGCAATGGGGACAGCGAGGTTTAGAGGGAAAATGAGGAGTAGTGATTTGAATGCATTCGCCAGCTCTACTCTGTAATTACAAGATATAAATTTAAAAGGGGGCGTGCCTGGAGTCTTGGGGGATGCCAGGGTTGCTACTGCATTTACTCCACAAGCTACTTCCCGGAGCATGCTACACAGTTGGATTCCAGCTAATACAACTCAAGTCTAGAAAAAATAAGAAGGTTAGAAGTTGACAAACTGGTCTGTGGGGATTTTAAAAGTCTGTTTGCGTTGAAGAAAGTGAAACATCCGGTCTACTGCAAGTGTTAGCTTTTCTTCCATATAAAAACAACAAAAAAGGACTAAATCTCCCCCCCCCTTGAAATTGAGCCATGTGCAATGATTCAGTTTAGATCTAGTTTCATGGCTAAATCCTTGTTTAGTCTCAATGTAAAATGTATGTCTAATGCTGATATAGATCTTCTCATTTGGTACATGATTTACACAAAAGAGGGAATTTACATGCCGGATAAATCATATGCATATTTTACGTTCATATATGATTGCACAATGTCTTTTTAGCATACCGGCTTATCACAAAGATGTACTCGACTTGTACAGTTAGTTTGATTCCTAATCTCATCTTGAACTTTCTGTTGTTTCACAAAAGAACTCAGCCTCCGGACACACGCAAGTCTAAACATGACCGATTATTCACTGCTTCGAAAACTGAACCAAGAAATAGATCGGTGGCAACATGACATCACTTGCCCTCGTGGCCGATCGGGGACGGCAAGTCGAGACACGCATAAGGACGCCATCAGTGCTGCATAACTGAATTAGAAAATGGATCTGCAAAATGTACGTTTGAGCTAATGGAAACAGCGGAGTGAACCCCTAGCCCCCGAAGACTTCTCTGTGATAAGAAGTGCTAATGGTGAGGTAAAGCAGCTCCAGGCCGAGGATCCACAGGACACAGCCGGACACCTTCAGCACATAGATAAGATTATCAAGCCATCGCATTCAGCTGAGAAAACCAAACAAGCAGGCGATTGACGGGACACACTGTTCTAAGCCCTGATTATAAATACAAGATTATATTGTCGTATTAAAGCTGGGGTATCCAACTTTCAAACCACAAAAAATAAATTATGTTTGGTTATGTCACTAGTTATCACACGCGATTGATTTTTGGCCTCTGTCACATCTTTAGATTAGCATTTTAGACAGAAAAGAGAGGACCACCCTCAACCGTCCAATCAACTCTCAGCCAAAAACATCAAAAAGTGTGGCAAACATGTGAAGATGGCAAGTTGTGGCCTAAAATGTTACTGTTAAAAAACTTTCTGTTGGTAAAAACTAAAAGGTGTTATTCATTGGGGGATAAAAAGTTAGATACCCCTTCTTTAACAATTGGAAATGATAAAAGGCCTTTGGGAGATTTTGTAGGATTTTTCTTGTAACTTAACTTAAAATAAAACACAGAACATTCAAAAGCTTTTGGCTGATATGGTCTTTAAACATACAACTTTCTTTTCAAGCTGTGGCTAACCTCATTTCTATTTTTAGCTCAATGCCGTCACATCTCATAACAATCTCACGTCATAATAATAAGGTGCATGTTTCGGAAAGAACAGTGACGTGAAGGACATTTTGTGACTCAGACTGGATTGGGACACCTTACTTCCTCCTCACCTCCAGAACAGACCACCCAAGGACCATACCTCTGACCACAAACATGAAACCAGAGCCTTGCTAAAAAGCACTTTGAAGTGTTTGAAGTATTTGCATGAGTAGCCTTTAGTAAACTGGCTGCTTGTAGTTGTTTTATCTTCTCGCCCACCTATGGCCACTAGTACTTCTCTGATCTTTTTCCCAGATCACTGCCCTTCTTCACTCTATGGGCAGATCTAACTCAAAAGCACAATCCCCAGTGGGCCGTGTGAGTCACCCATTACGTCAGATGTCACTAAACTTTGGGACATAAACTGAGGAGGAGGTCAAGCCTGAGTGAAAACGTGCAGAATAGTGTTGACATGGTAGTAAAAAAACGGTACCACCAGTTCTGATTTAAAGTGGATCATAATCATTCAAAATGCGCTCACAAGAATCTCACATTTTGTCCAATGGTTGATTCAATGAGTGTCTATTTTCCATACTGGATTTAGTATTGATTAAAAGCTGGTCCTAGTGCAAACAAGTTTACAAAGGGATATTTCTAACATTTTGGTGTGTCATTCTGCCAAGGTATGCAATGGGCTTGACAGGTTCCATTTCTTTTTCTTTTTTAAAGTTTGTTTTCAGTATTGACACATATCTTATCAAATGTATCCTGGGCTGTACTTTTTGCTTTACCAATTTCATCAAAACAAAAACGAAATGGGCCAACAGAAATGTAGCTGTGGTCTGTTTTGATTGAAATGTGCAGAATGGTTGCATTATGCTTGGAGTTTGAAGGAAAACTTTACAAGATAAATCTATTCAATCTAAAATGTAGTCATTGCCATTTGTGAAAGGTAGCTTTTAATGTCAGACGGAAAGCAGCAGACAAAACAAAACGTGTGTGTTTAAACTTACCATATACACTTACATAGACTATAATACATAATCTCATGCCCCCAAATGTAGTTATATAAATTGGCTGATCTGCACAGTCCAGTCCACAGTACACTCAAAGCAACTTCAGACTGAATAATATCAACAAAACGCGGTGTACTGTATGGAGTTGGTGCGTAAAGGGCCACTCAAAACAGTGCCAAACCCTTCACAACATGAGCCAAGAAGAGGAGCCACATCCGCACGATCTGTCTGCCCAAAACTTTGCGAGAAATCAGTGCAAAGCAAACGCCAATCCCCCCTCCACAGATCCCTCTCTCGACCCCCGCCTTGAGAGACTGGCTGCCCTTTTATTAGACGCTATGAAGTTGGATGCAAGTTTGTCTGCGTGGTTGCTGCTGCGCTCAGGCCATGTGAGAACGCGCAAAGAAGGAGACATTTACATCTAAAAAGCAGACTTAAAAAAAAACTCACCTTGCTCTTAACTTCAACCGCGTTACAATCCGCATTTCGCTTAAAACTCCGATTCATGTTTGGGTCGGTTGTGGCTGGATTCTCCCGAAACTTCAGGCGCGTTTGCCCGCTGAAGTGGGGCGCTCTGGGGGTATAAAAACCTGCTCGCTTCTCTTCGGCGGGAGTAATGGCAGTTTTCGTTGTATTTCCAGTCTTTTCTGGGCTGTATCTCCGACAGAGCGGGAGAGATTTGAGAGGGACACGGGAGGAGAGCAGCTCGCCGCGGTGACTGGGAGTGTAGTTAAGTTTTGAAATGACATCAGCGCGGAGGAAAAATGTGAATCTGCGCCGCGTTCAGGGACAACGCGTAAAATTCAGCTTCTCGCAGATGCCGATGTGATACAACGGGGATATGTCAAACTTTTATAGCGATTGAGGTCAAGTGGGATCAATAATAATAATAAAAAGAATTAATTATTGTGTATCAACTTAGTTATTTAATTCACAGTAGCCTTCTGCATGAATTAACCCAATTTATTTAAAATTAACACATTTCGGCAAGTACAAAAACGTACCAGTAGTGATTCCTCGTTTCGTCCGCCAGTACGCCAGAGGACACAATTTCGTTCCCACCACAAGTTTGTGCACATTTATATTTAAGGATTTCGTCATAAACAAATACAAAATAAGTTAACTTGTTCACAGTATTCTGCAACAAGAGTTTTGGAAAACTTACTCAATTCTACAGTCACTGAATTATTACTTCAAATGTGTGTGTGTTTTTTTTCATTTTATTTAATATTTTACAAAAACATGTTATGGTTATTTTGTTATTATTATCATTATACTATTATCAGCCCCTCCCCTTGACATCAATTACATCCAATAAATATTTTTAATTTCATGTATTTCCTCAACAGAAGTCATGTTGAATCAAACATTTAAAACACATTATATGCATTAACTAATAACCCACAAGAGCCATAGTTCCATAGAATAGCAGGATCTTTGTAATATGAACTTTATAGACCCTCCTGCATCACTGCCAGTGCGTTTTCATGGAGAACAGTGAAACCAATGGGGATGGTGCTCAATCAAGGATATTGATACATTTTGTACAACCAGGAGGAAAGCAATTGAAAGTTCTCTCAGTTTCTTCATAATTTGACAAGCACAGATATCGACTTAAAGCCTTTTCCAGCTCAGGAGAGTGTCCCCAGTCCGTGTCCAGCCTCACATTCCTGCCCCGTGGGTGAGGCTCAGCTGCAGTGGTCTGTCCCACAGTAGCCCACTAATGCCTGTTTACTCACTGTAGGAATGTGTTGACTGTTTAAATCCACTCACTTACTGACAGGTGCTGTTTTCAACGTGTCCCTGGACTCACAACAGTTCTGTGATGGTGTCAGGGCTCACTTTGCTGTTTCCTATGTTGTCTTTACCTTTTACCTCCAATTTGTTAGACCAAAGAAAAGTGAGATTGTGGCATTACATTTCAATTTGAAATACATAATCCGTTTTACATTTGTCTTATATTTACAAATATTTGACAATAACTTGCCTCCACATAAAGTGTTTGTGAGGTCATGGAAAACCTGCAAAGATATATAAAAAAATGTACCTGAAAAAGAAATATAGATGTAGAAAGATAAGTTTAGACTCTTTTGTTGTAGTAGAATTTTACCCACAATTCTATGGTTAGATTTGAACAGGTCTCTGAAGCTTAACCCCATTACATTTGAGTTCCAACTCCTTTGAGGCAATGCAAACATGCAAAATCAACACAAAATATTTTAGATAACATGGCATTTGATTGAAGGTCTCAACTCATAACGAAAGGTTCCCAAAATAAATACAAAATACAATACTGCAAGTAAAATCCTTAACCCAATAAAACCACAATAAGCATATTATAGACTCACAAAGATACCAAATAAGGTTTTTGTGTTCACACGTTACACTCTAGGTTCGATGGCGCCCTCTTTAGGACACTACATGACAGCACTTGAAAACGGAGTATCAAGCTGTCATTCATCATACTCATGGCCTTTTATTTATTTAAAAAAGGCTAAAATATACAATTGGAATTTAAACAGCCTTTAGTTTGAATGGATTTATTGTCACAAAAAACGGGCTGATACTTTATTATATATATTTGTACACTTAACATTTAGTTTTTGATGGAAACTATTAGCCTACTTAACACCTATAAAAACCCTCTAGGTAATCGTGTTTGTTTGATTATGTTTATTTAATTACAATAAACGACAAAATAATTATTATAATAATTAACTGAATACCCCCTGTATAGCCTACAGCCACTAGAGGTCAGCAAATACCAGACAACAAGGCAATGAATAGGAACAAAGACGCTTAGTCAGCCACAAAGAGCGCTGACACCAGAAGGATCTGTTCAACAAGTGTGCTGCTGCCGACCTTTGAATGACCACGCTACAGAAAAGCAGATTGGGATGAATCAGAACACATTTGGATATATTTGTGATGTCACCTCATTTTGGCCATCATGCTAGAGTCTAGACATTGGGTTTGATAATGACGAAAAAGCTATATGTTTCTATGAGAAGATAAAATAAAAATCAAATACAAAATCGTCCCACAGAGGGGAAATGTCAATGTCTCAGTTGCGCACATTACAGCAGAATAAACAGAGATATAAGAGCATACAGTTCATGCAGGCATCAAACAGGATATATTATTTAAGATAATAGTTATATAATAAATAATGAACTCTGGAGCTATACTTGGTCAAGGACATTTACATGATGGCTGATATTGTACTTTAGCAGCAGAGACTATGCAAAAATAAGCAATAATAGTAATAGCAGCGGCTAGTGATTAATCAGAACAGATGAATGGAATATGGAATATTCCATGGAATATGGAATGTAATCATAATAGCAGGTAAAGTGACTTCTGACTAAAGTGACTATCGTGAATTCTCATAACAAATGAAGGACACTTGCGACTCTAATACATAGGCCTATCTTTAGTTTGTGTCTGTCATAAAATTGTTGATAAACCGTTTGTAGCTCATGATAGAATACATTTGGTCCGTGTATGTGAGAGTCAACAATTACAGTGAGATGAAGATAATATTATAGTTAGTGTAGTAGATGAGGCAGACAGACACCCAGGCCCAGTTATGTTATTTTATGACCAATCTCATCAAAGACATGTTTCTTATAACTAGACTAATTATGATCACTGGAAACATATTTGGGCAAATATGTAAATAATAAATGTATTATAAGACACTGTAAAAAAAAAAAAAAAAAAAAAAAAAAGAAGAAGAAGAGACTGACTTTAATCAAACTGCCATAAAATTGACAATATCTAAAGTTGTTTTACATTTTGAACACAGTGTGATTGAGACTGCTCAAAGGAGTGTGAACTGAAATGTTGTGGATATAAAGAAAGGCAGAAATGAAGGGATCTTAAACAGGCCTGCCCGTAATCCCAACATCTATATGATCCTATATGATTACTTATGAAACACGTGGAAGCTCCTGAGTTATAGCAATATGATAAAACACGACGAGGAAAGAATATATTTGAACAAAGGCTGGTTTGTGACGCCATTTCACACAGACGGGCCCTTTGCAATTTTTTTTAATAAAAGGTAGACCAAGTGCAAGTTTGAGAATAAAACGCTGACTTCTGTTGTTCACTCCCACTGTGCGGGTCTCAAAGAATGAATCAGTAGAATGAAAAGAGTAGGAGGGACTGGCTGTCTGGAGGATGGTGAGCGTCTGTGGAGGAGGGAACAGGAGCTGAAGAGACCAGAGTGCAGACTGCAGAGTGTGCGTTATGGCCTGTATGAGGTCTATGTGGATCTGATATTGATGTTTAAACAACAGTTTGCTGTACGCTCTGTCTTTTCCACAGTTTCCCCTCTCTGCTCAAACAAGATTAATATTGTAGCCCTTGCAAGGTTGAAACTTATAGGCCTATTACAGTGGTTGGGGTAGTATACAAGATTTTTTATTCTTCATCCTACTAAAATTTTCATGGAAAGTATAAAAAAGTAAACAAAACTAATTCATGTAATCCTTCTGCCTTCTTGATGTCCAATAGTGGATAGAATTGGTGATAGTACAAATTTGTAACTGAAGTGTTTGTGTATGCGTCATGGATATATGTGGCTTTGGATATATGTGCATGGGTCCCCAAATTTTTTTTCTTTCGTTACTTATTTTGTTATTTTATTATTTTTATCTTCCTTATTTTCTCTGTCGTTCTCTCGTTTTGCACATTTTCTTCTTTTCTTTCTTCCCTTTAAATGAAAAATAAGACGTTTTTAAAGAAAGAAATTGTGATAAACTAATAGTCTTGGCCCGTCCCTCCACATTACCTAATATGTTGCACTACTGATCAGGGCTGGACTGGGACAAAAAACCGGCCCGGGCATTTTTTCCTTCTTAGCGGCCCAGGCAACTCAAAATGTTCAAGGAGCCATATTTGACAAAAAAAAACTAAAGACATCTGTCTGGAGCCGCAAAAAAAAAAAAAAACAGCGTTGTATAAGGCTTGCATGAAGGTAACAGGGGCTGGCTGTATTAGCTACATTAGCTACCTTAGCTACATTAGCTATATTAGCCTAATATCTAAATGCAGCGTGTCCTGGAGAGAATGACGCACCACATGACAAGTCTGCTTTAAGTTTAACCTTCATGCAATTGTACAAATACAGTAAATAAATCTGCTTTTTGGCTCCGAGTTCACCTGCATCACTGTCTGTTCATATCCATCACAGGCTGAAGTTTGCTGGAGCTGAATGTCCTTAATGGCCTTTTCTTTCACCGTCTTTACGAAGGTATTTGAAGTCTGAAAATAGGTGCTCTGACTTTATGATGAATGAATCTTTCAGTGAACGTGTTTAAAGCTTCATTGTTCCTCCTGTTGCAACAAAACGTTTCATTACTTCGCAAACATGAAGCAGTCCTTCCTCATTGACTGAAAGCAAATGTTCATTCTTATTCTTAGTCCAGTCTTATCGACTCTCTCTCTTTGGGATCCATGCGCACACACAGTTAAAATTGAATATTACTTATACAAGTTTTTGCAGCATTGAAAAACGTTAAGAATGTTTTTACTCCTACAGAAACCACATTCAAACTAGAAAGAAAATATAGCCCTCACACTCCATTTTCAGACATTTTTGAAAAGGCTCCAGAGCCACTATAGGGGCACTAAAGGTTGCCGACCCCTGGTTTATACAGTATGGGGAAGCAAATACTGTAGAGGACCAGGATGTCTGCGGTTTCAACAATAAAATAAAGTACAATAGTCTACATTAAACAGAGTAATAAACATGTCTCAGAGTGAGGGAGGTGGGCACAGACAACACTATTGTTTGTTACAGGGATGAGAATTAGTAAACATTTCTGAAATGCATATTGTCAGCCATTAGCTGGCTCTAAATCTGTTTAATCTGTTCAAAACATTTTACTTTTGGGCTCAAACATGAACTTTTAATGCAATGGAAAATGTAGGTACCCGAGCTTTAATTTAGAGGAGAGGGGAGACGCGGACTGTTTTCTGCAGCGGTGTATTTATTGGGTGCACAAATTACGAAAAGACACGCATGGTCCAGTACGCGTTTATGGTCTTGGGTACATGGTCACGTTGCGGCTACGCGCTCACCGTGTTGTGTTGTGAGCGGCTCCCGGTGAGCGGCTCCTGCGTCCAGCTCAGAGCCGCTGGATGCGGGAACACTGCGGCCGCTGAGGTGGCGGAATCCCGTTCGAGTACATACAGCAGGTGCCCCGCGGACACGCGCGCTCCCCTCAAACATTTCTCAACGGATTTACACTTTTCACAAACATGTTTTTTGTATGAGGCAAACAGACCGGCCCAAATATGGGCATCGGCCCTTCGGGCATTGCCCGGTACGCCCGATGGCCAGTCCAGCCCTGCTACTGATTCTAGTGTGTATCTTTTCCACGTTCACGGAGGCTGCACCGTGACTTCCACCAGCAGAGGGCGACATTGCCGAAGAGACGCCTTCATTCGTGCATGCGCCTTGACACGTACACGTACACCCGCGGCCTGTGAATCCTCCGCTGCCTCACGCTCACGTCCACGCACTCCCCGCACACATTCAGGCCTACATACGACTTTGGCACCACTTATCTGAGGCCTCACATGTATAGTTTCAGCGCTGTTAGGAATGAGAGATGGAGGGACTTCGAAGAGCAACGTGACCGAGACCTGCCGCCTCCTCTCGCCTCCATCACCACCGAGGGTCCGGTCCATGAGGGTCCAGTCCACTACGGCCAGTGAGGGATGGACCAGCGAGCAACAAGAAGGACTTGAGTAGGCCTGTACAAAAAAAAGACAATTTTTAAGATGAAGAAAATCTATTATAAGTAGGCTACATTTCTCCATCACATCATGGTTATTTCAATTTCACTTTCGCCTTGGCACCATAAGTCTGTGGTGCATCTATTTCCGGTTGCACACCACAAGCTTCCAGTTGGTTTAATGGCTATAATGCATCTTTAAATAATTTATTCCAGGGGTTTTCGAACTTTTTGAGACTAGCCTTTGTCTCCTCTCTTCGCCTATACAGTCTACACAATGTAACAACAGCTAATCATTTAATACATTTAAAATCCATAAACAAGATTTATGCATCTCCACAAATCTGACACTTACCTGCTTGTTTCTGTAATCTTGACAATAATCTACCACACCAGACTCATGACTTAGATGTGCCATCACTCGGAACAGGGTCTTTCTGAGTGGAGTTTGCATGTTCTCCCCGTGCCTGCGTAGGTTTCTTCCGGTTTCCCCTACCACGAAAACATGCTCACTAGGTTAAATCCTCCAGCTCTGGTAGTCCTGACCAAGCCAAGCATCAACATCTGGAGATGGGTTCCCGGGCGCTGTACTACCTGACGTAAGCCTTCGCGGCATCAGGATGGGTCAAATGCAGAGGATTGAATTGCCCTACGTGGATTAATAAAGTGCACCTTTACCTTTACCTTTAAAAAAAACTTAAATACCAGTGTCTTTATAACAGAAAATACCCATTCTCTATCTATTCCTTTCCGAACTGAATTTTTGTCTCACTTGGTATCCTCTTTTTTGCCCCCAGGACGTCCGATTTCTTCATGAAGACTTAGAATGAAGTGCCTCTCACGTGATCACATGCACTGTTGATTCTCCAACTCCCTGGACCTGTTCTCCAGGCGTGTTGTGCGACCACTCCTCCGCCATTTCTTCTATCCATCCACTCCCTCCGGAACGAAAACATCAGCCATCTGGTCCGGGGTTCACAGGTCAACTCTCAGGCTGGTAATGAGGATGGCGTCGCTAAGGGGGGAGACAGGGGAGAAGGGGGGCCTGTATGTGTGTGTGTGTGTGTGTGTGTGTGTGTGTGTGTGTGTTTGTATGGATGTGTGTGCGTGGGGCGGCTTCCTGAGTGGGCATTAAACATTAACGACCAGGGAGCGAGGAGAGGCCTGAAAAGGGAGTAGGTAGACAAGCGGCAGGCATAAAGGTAACACGCGTGGATATAGGCTGGACATGCAAAGGTGTATATAGGTCATGAGATGGAGAGAGATATACGGCAGGAGTACCATCTATCCATCAGTCACAGAACCATAAGAAAATGGCTGTGGATGAACAATTTAAAGCTTGGGTACCTGACTTTGAACCACACACACAGAACTATACTGAATATTCCATGTCAGTCGTTTGGTTCTATCACATCATTCATTTTTTAATGGATTCTTGAGACAGAACGTGACCGTCAAATAGTGACTCACGTGGTTCTTTCTTACATACATTTAAAAGATAACATGTTTCTAGTAATGTTTTTAAGATAAACACAATTGTGGTAAATCAGACAGCCAGAGACAAGAGGAACGTTGACATAGTCGGGCTGTTTATTTGCTGCGGACTTCCAGAGTTAATTGCAAAGAATAATTTGGGTAATTGCGTATGAATTTATGATATTAGGATATAAAGAAACAGATATATGATCAGGCAATGGATAAAGGGTAAGAATGAAATTGATATGACCGATACCAAATGTATTCAAATGATTTTGTATCATTTGAAGTTGGTGGATTAGATTAAAGTCTAATCCACCAACTAACCAGTTTTGTCCAGTGCTGTATCTCCATTTATTTGATTCATACTGTATGGTGGTCTGATTTGTTCCACACATTTTACTTTTACAAGCCATTTCTGTAGGAACAAACGTGTGTTATTCATGATATGATACAAAAAAGTTGGACACCACAAATTTACCAAAGATCAAACCCAAATATGATTAAAATTAATTAAAATCTGTCATAAGCAAGAGTTAATTTGTGTCCATTTGGAAGTTTGGGAGAAAGGATGCATTATTTCTGTGATATTAGTCTACATGTAGTTTTCTATGACTGCTACCATTGGTATTGCTGTAGAAGTTAGTCCAGAAAGAAAATTCTAAGATCGCAAAGGTTCCCTGCCAAGTTAACGTCCACAATTGTCCAAAAACCAATACTTAACCTCACCGACTCACTCTGCTGGTTAGTTTCTTGCTTCGGAGCGTGTTTCCTGTTTATTGACTCCCACCATCAATAGCTGTGGTCGATGGTGGAGCAGAAGGAACAGTGGCTATAGTGCCTAAGCTACATTTACGCATTCGAACGACCCACACTTCCTCCAACAAATCTAGTAATGATTAATTCAACTTTATTCTCGGCCGTGATTGTGATAATTCTCTAGTTTCCATAGTGTGCAAATCTATAGTCACGTGACAGGGCCGAGGGAGAATGCCTCGGCGCCTTCTATTCATGCTGTAATAATGGAAACATTCTTATGCGTGGTGCAGAGTTCTAACAAGTAAATACTCAAAGACTGGTGTGACCTTAGGACTCTGCTGTATAGTTGCCGTGGCGATGGTAATGATGTTTATGGTAATATTGATGTGAAGTTTGAATGAGGGAACATATGGAATGCTGAGATATAATGTGGGGTGTTAATTTCTACATTAATGGGTAGTATTCACTCCAATGAATGAAAGTTGTGACTAGAATTCTCTTTCCCTATATATATCGATATATAAAGTGATAGCACATAAAAGCTCATGTGTGATTCGTTGGTTTACAAATACAAAAAGGACAAATCTATTTTTACAAGTGCACAGTATTAGGTATTATAATGAAAAGCCATTAAAAAAAAAAAAAAAAAAAGTTATAAAAATACGGTACTATTGTATGAATGGATGTGTTTCTGCTGCTACTGGACACCCAAATTTCTCCTACGACAATCTATAAAGTATCTATACATCTATTAAAATATGTATGAAAAAAACTGCTCATCCAATTCTCAGTAAAATGGAATTGGATCTGGTTCAAAATCAGATCCCATAAACAAAATCAAAGTATATACACTTTGCGAATATTCACAAATGTCTCTTTCTTGAGCTTCTCCTCTGTCTCTCCTCCTCCTGACTGATATTTCTGTCTGCAGATCTTGTTGAAATTCAGGTGGGCAGAGACACCTCCTCAGCCTGCAGGAACTCAATTGTTTGTGAGCGAACAACATCCTGTGAGAGGCAGCTCTCCGCCCGCCCGTCAAAACGTACTAAATATCACAGTGTTGCAGAGCTAGCGTTAGCATGTGTAATGTGTATTGATCTTCATTTTTAAGTGCAGGCATTAATCTCACTCTCCTGAGAATAGCACACAGTTTACTTTTTGGCAAAGCCTGGATGAATGGAGTTTGGTTCACAATGCACAAGAAATTAAAGACATAACTCACTCTTCGCCAGTGGCTAAGCGCTGCCTAGAAAATTATGTTGTACTTGCTTGACTAAAGAACCACTTAAGATTTCATGAACTTTACCACTAAGGAGCATTGAATACAGACCATTATTTTAACCCAGTCAATGTGTACGCCTGAAAGGGTGAGCCTTAAGTCTGGACTCTGGCATCACGCTTATGCTTATGTTCAACAATCTGTTGGTCAATATGCACTGTCCTTGTGATTGATAAATCAAATAGACTATTCATTAGATGTGTTATCCACTGTATATGCTCTATATATTTAATAAAATAACACATTAACACATCAATGAGGGTTCACAAAAGCATTTCATGTTTGTTCAAGTTGGACTTCAGATTTACCAACATACAGTAGCTAAAGATATAATATGAATACGTTTATGACTGAACAAAGGGCCAAAATATGTGTAATATAGTCGATTTGAAATATTTGGTGAGATATGATGTGAATTTAAGAGTAGCTGGCAAACATATGAACACTTTTTTATAAATAAGATCCAGCAACATCTTACTTGTTGCTTGATCTTACTTCATGTAATGAAACTGAAACAAGGTGCCAATGGTGGAGGAACTATATTTATCACATGATCAAAGCGAGTGAGTAGCCATAACACATCCAAGAGGTACATCCTACGGTCCTGTTTCTAACCTTGTCTAACCAGTATTTGGTTCAGGAGGTCACATGAGACAAACATCAGAGGACAGACGGCCCTGACCACTTGTGCTTCTATTATTTGTGTAAATCAGACTGCAACACCTCAATCGACATGTCCAGGTTTACTTGCATTTTGATCAGATTCAGATTGGACTCTGCAGTTTCTGAGTCTCCCTCCTTCCATGTAAACGCAGGGAGTGAGATGAGGCCCGACCCGCAGACAGTGACAGATTGTGCCGACTCAGAGTCTGGGCCTCTCCTTCTCCCTGTGCCGCACTCCTCAGTGTTTATGCGGGCCGACTGTAGCATGAGCGCGTCCCACACGGCGCCTTGATTGAAGGAAAACAACATCAATCCAGCCCTGACCCCAGGCACTCGGAAATCCACCAGGCTTTTAGAGCACTGTGTCTGGTCTTTTTACTGTACATGAAAGAATAGAGCACTGCAGACTATTGTGCAAAGTGCATTCACTTCACCATTGTCAAAAAGTGCACTTAATGCCTGTTACATTGGCTTTTCCTATATAATAAACACAACATGTCAGTTGTAAATTCACTCAGCCCAGACCCTTTCTTTCCTTGCTAATGAGAAAGCCCAAATGCAGTCTTCTCCTTTCTCCATGTTTTCCTCCTACACTACAACCCCAAGTTTGTTTTATAGTCATTTTTAGCTCGGCCTTGCGGGACTCTGTGTCCTGTGAGGCCTTTGAGTTGTGTTTGTTTTATCAACACTTTGACGAAGAGGAGGCAATCATTTCCCATGGATGTAGATGTTCTCACTTTAGCTACTCACTCTCTCTGAGCTGTTTTTAGGGGGGTATCTCAGCCCTTGGGTCCAAACCCTTCTCGTAATATCCTGCAGCTTTGCCCCAGAGAGCAGAGATCCTCACAGCCCACTCCCCGATCGCTGATGTTTGATGCTGCTTTTTGTTTCTCCACTCTCAGGCTAAAAACTCAAGGGAAGACTTTGAAGATGCTGTCGAAAAGGCCAAGTCTATGATAAAGATCAATTTGTAAGGTTAAAGGAACATCTGTGCACACTTTCTGTCTGCGTTCATTGGAGTAGTAAATAATTCAGAGAGAGTTGTTTTGTGAAAACTGAGAGGGGTCAGCTTTTACGAGGCTCTCCTTTGGACAAGTCAATACATTTTAACATGCATTATAACAACCCCCAACTCCTAATACTGAGAAGATGGAGACATTAAAATGATCCAATAATTGACACTCAAAAACACCACCTCAAATGTTAGGTGGAACTTTCTCTTTTTTCCATGCATCCTTGAGCAAGACACTGTGTTGCCGGCACATGGGAGAGGCAGTCTGGAGCAACGACCAAATTAATTCATATTTTTGATTGAATGTTCTACTTTTCTTCATCTAATCTCAGTTACAGTTTGACCATTTAAACAAACTTATCATACATTTGTTAGTTGCTGGGCTGCTAATTACAGTATTCTTTAAAACAAGCTTAATTCCTTACTCTCATCAGCAGAGGGAGGCAAAACATTCTCTTCATTTTAAAGGAATTAAAAACATACTATTCAAAGTTAGGAAACATGAATAATTCTTTACACTGTAGTGCAACTGTTTTGCTTCTGAAAAGTAAAAAAATTAGTGAGAGCTTTCTGCCCTTTTTCTCTGTAGTCGTAGAAGAGTGAGGCCTGGGTGGTGTATGTCCTCAGCCCTCAGTGGGTCGCCCTGGAATAAAAAGTTCCATATGTCTGGACCCCTTTTTCCCCCAAACACGTGCACTAACTCTGGCTCTGCTTGTGGAGGCGACATTGTGCAGACTTGACAGAAAAAAAACTTTGACCATAGTGTGGAGCACCACCCCCACTCCAAACATGGGCATCATGAGCAGTCCAGAGCTGAAGAAAGAGCACAGGGCTCTGGTCAGTATAGACATAGATATAGATTAATAGATAGATTGATAGACCTTTAGTCATTTCCACAGACACTGTCACAGAATGGAGAGGAAGGAAGTTACAATACACACAAAATACACAAAACACACATGCAATACAGCAACAAGGACAACACAACAGGTTGTTAAGTGCAGCTATGGATGAAGGGACAAAACTCTTGCTGAATCCTGCCGCTTCCACCTTAACGTTCTGTGTCTGTGTGAAGTGGGTGTGGAGAGGATGGTCTCTGGTTACTGTCCGGGCCATGCGTGTTACTGCCGTGTGCTTGGGCTGGGGGAGGTCTGTGGCGGGGAGATTGATGATTTTGGATGATGTGTTTGTGTGTGACTTTTGTGAGTTTATTTCTGCTGGTGATGGAGAGCATGTTGAAGTCCAGGAGAATGGGTTGGATACTAGACCATAGCACGATCCTAGAGCCGTGTCTCAAATGAGTGTCTTTACGGCCACACCTGTTCTTGCTCTGATTTGTACAGTAGCCATCGCAATTGGGGGCGATAAAATTACCCTTTGAACCACGTTTTTATTTCACTGTTGGAAATAAAAAAGGTACTATAATTTGTGATATTAATTATGTTTTAGTGTTTGATTTAGTTTGCTGCTTGATGGTAATTGGAATGAGAGCTCTCCAACTCCCCGATGGGAAGCAACTAACACGTTTCAAATATTAAATCCTTGAAATCAGCAACGTAAAATTTGTCATCAATAAGTTCTACCTTTTGAAATTGTAAAATAAGCAAGCTATCTTTTGTAATGGCAAATAGGACGACAGATGGATCACTCGAGCAATAATTCGCACATATTTGTTAAAAGTCCCAACCTGAAACTGCTTTTTTTAGTCTTAATAGTTTAAATCCGCTTTTGAGGGCTTGCCATGAGATACTTTTTCAGCGTTGAGACTTCTTCTTAAGCTCAGAACATCTGGGCTCTCACAAACCGGCTACCCCTCCAGGAAGCGGTTACATTTTGGGCTTTCTGGTTTGACATACCTCTCCTGTCTGTGTGTGAGAGCGCGCAGAGGATTAGGAGCTGAGGCCCTGCGCGAGGTTTCGGAGACAGACGTGGTCACTCCTTTCTTTGTCTTTCTGTGCAGCTCTACCCCCGCCCCGTTCGCTCCCCAGTGGCCCAGTGATGGATTGCAGACCGCAGGGGTGAAGGTGGAGGGGTGGAGGGAGGTGCGGCTGCTGTGTTTTTGGGTGAAGTTTTTTCCGTGTGAGCGGTGGAGGTGAGTGGTGTGAAACCTGTAATGATGAAATGAGTCACTAATCACAGTGATTAAAGGCCTGATGAGGGGGTTGACTCTGGGCCCACAGCGCTGTGTGCTGCGCTGTCTCCAACATAAAGACCAAGACAGGCTTTCAAAGCAAAAAGTATCTTTCTACTCGTGTTAATTATTTTATAGTATTGAGTGAAAACTGCTGCAACATGGCAGAGATTAAGTAAAAAGTATGAGTCATTTGTTAATCCGACTCAACAATAAGAAAATGTAAGATATTGGTGCCATCAACAGTCTTAAAATGAACTTAAAATACAAGGATATTTGAATAATTGAACTTCTGTATATATGTATGTGTATATTTCTGCGTACCGGTGGAATTTGTTGTGTAAATTCTCACGCTATTGTAAAGTTATATTTTCAGATTTGAATGAATTTGAAATGTTATGTCTTATGAATTTGCTACTTCTGAATTTGATTATTTTTTGTTGTTGACCAACGACCAATTATTAAACCCAACTAAACAGGTATAGAATGACTTGATTTTTGTGATATTTAAGTACAATACAATCTACAATACAATACAATACAATTTATTCTTTTATAGCCCTAGGTCACAACAGAAGTCATCTCAGAGGACTTAACAAAACCATTGAAATCACCAACACAGATCAGAGAATCAACAGTTAAAACACATAAAGAATATAGAACACGTGTTGATAAATGTTCATACATGTTGTAGAATGTTAAAGTGTCCTGGATCATCACCACAGTCCTTCTAGTTTGACACTAACTGCCCAACAGACCTTCCTGCATCGGCAAGGAAAAACTCAAGAAAACCCAGTGGGAAAAAGTGATAAACCTTGGGGACACACATATTGAGAAAAGGATCCGCTCCCACGGACGGAACCCACGATAGATCCAGGACCTAAGCTACAGAACGTGGACCAGTGGCCGCTGAGCATGGACAGGTCCGGTGCAGGACTGGGCGGCGCAGTCTGCAGGTGTAGATGGAGGAGGCCAAGTCCAGAGGTCCCGTCATTGTACCATGAAACAGACAATGAGACAGCGGGTGAATGGCAATGAACAGACTACAGTCAAAATCCTAATAATGCTAAACAGATAACGTAGGATGGAGGAGAGGTTAGTGCTCTAGTTACCATACTTCTCCCAGCAAACTCACTCCCTATGTATAAGTACAAAACCTTTTTGTGCTCAGTGTGGAACTGTTACCAACTCTCTCGTTGTCTTAAGCTCTAGTAGTTTTTGTTTTTCGGTTCTCCCACTACATAAACAAATACCTGCTAGTTCCAAGAAAATAGTACGTAATAAAAGCACTCTGGTCGTTAAAATATTCATCACGTTTCTGGACCACCTTTTTCATTTCATGTTTTGCCCATATTATTTTTCTCACTTCACTCAATTATTTAAAAATCCATCATACACGCACCAGGCTCACTGAAAAGGCCTTATTGAGGGAGTATTGATTTAATATGAACAGCCGTATCTCTGCCCCCCCCTTTGCCGATGTGGCCGTCACTCCGTCCGGCGCCCACCGCATTAAATGAATTCACTGCTCTTGTAATGGTGTGTGGGTTTATGCTCTCTCTCGTCACCATCACTTACAATAGAAATAAAGCCTTGCACATTACACCGCAATTAACCATTTAATACGCCCATTAAAAGAGTCCCATTTCAGAGCTGTATGATAACAGTTTGAGGAGGCATATAGGGTTTTATGAGCGACCCCATATAAATCTATACAATAAAGACCCTGGAGTGGCTGGGCTAAATGTGACAAAAGTGAATGGTGTAGTTAAATGGAAAAGTTCAAAAGAGAGAGAAGAGATAGTGGTCCAAATCTGTGCGTTGGATCTAGATATGTACATTTAAGGGACTTTGTAAATGATAGATCAAGGCTTTAAAACCAGTCTTAATTTGATTGCAAATTGGAATTAATGCAGTTTCCATATGTTTAAGTTATGTATGTAAATGTCGTGTTTGATATGCAATAAAACGTGGGATTTAATTTAGTTTGTCGGATTGAACGTCAAAACATTGGTTGAAATAGACCAATTGTTTTGTTAGTTTTGACTTTAATCAATATAATATGTTTGTATATTATCAAAATGGCCATTGTCAATGTTTTAAATGACATGTATATAACCTTTCTGTAAACTTATCATTGTTGTCAGTGAAACCTTGGTAACACTTTGACACACACGCATCAGTTCACTTCCTGTGTTCACTCGTAGACAAGAATATCGTTGCACTTTCTCAACCACATCTACACATGTTTTTGCCTTCCACAATTAGCAGCTTCTGTACCGCGATCAAACCTGGATAAATACATGTAATACCTCTCCCTGCTGCCATTACAAACACTAAACCGTCAATCACAGCATGTAAACGTTTCATTGTAGTCGTCCAAAAAGCTCTTGGAATAACATTGACTGTTGATCAAATTCATGCCATAACAATAACTTGTTTAACTCAAACAATGTGTTGTTTAGCTGAGATCCAGACGCACAGTATAGATTCGACAGGCGGCCGGCTCTCACATGATCCAAAGATGAGAAACAGACTGTTGTACTTGTTTGCATCGACCCGGGACAGATGGGTTTAATATGACTGTGTTTTTCTTATAGTCCAAACAGAATAGTCTACATCCAGAACAGAACGGGCTGACAGGGACTGCACCCCAGAGACACTGCCTTGTCCCAGGCCTCAGTTCAATGCTTTATGATCATATACATTTAAGTAGCTACTGGATCAATTTTGGATTGTACTGTCAAGCAGGTATTTTATTTAGTTAATCATTTACAACAAGCCGTGTTTGTTTACCGTCTTGACGCTGGGGGGAGTTATAAATCTACAGCGTCTGACCTGTTGTTGCAGAGCTCTCCTAGCGACTAACAAGATGGGAGTAACTGCTACTTCTTTGCATTCTGTATGGTATTATTAATCCTTTAGGTGCAGAGTTTTTGTCAGACATGTAATGTTTAACCGACAAAAGCTGTAGCCCTGAAATTGTTTGAGGGATAGGGAACTGCGACTATGAACAACAAAATAAAATAGAAAAAGATAATAATGGATCGGTTTTATATTTAAAGCGCTTTTTTGGACACTCAAAGACGCTTTACATGTCATTATTCATTCAGTCCATACATGGTGGTGATAAACTACTACTGTAGCCACAGCTGCCCTGGGGCACACTGACAGAAGCAAGGTAACCAGTCTGTGTCATCGGCCCCTCCGACCACCACCAACCATTCACACACTCACCAGACTCATTCTAGGCAATGGGCAGTTTGGCACTTTACAGCCGCAGCCGCCCCACTGTGGCACATGGTGTTCCCAGAGGTTAAGTGTCTTGCCCAAGGACGCAATGACAGCAGACATCAGTGGGAGTCGGTGGAGAAAGTCTTTTGTTGGGCTCGAACCCACGATCTTCAGGCTCAAAGGCCTTTCAGGATTCAGGAGCACTTAGAAATTCTGATGGGTTAAACCTCTTCCGTAATTGAGATGTTTCGCTCACCAGCAAGTATTAATTAGTATTAGTACAAGTATTTATTATCAAAGTCCACTGCCAAACTACCAAGACAGAGCAAAGACAAAAAGAAAAGTGAAAATAGAGAAGCTTTGTGATTGAGACAAAGTTGTGAAAATGATTCCAAGGATGCATCTGCTGTAAGTGGCACAGCACCGCACTTGTCAGATGTGATCTTTGCAGCTTGTGTGTGTTGACAGAAGGCTGACCCGAGCGGAGCAGGCGAAATCTAATTCTTGCTCAAATTGAGGAGTTGTCAGAACAAAGCAAAGTTGACAGGGAAAGCCTTTATATTCTGTGTCGGATAGAACAACAACATTGTCTCTGTCCATTTGGAAACAAGATCATTGCATTGGAACAGCTCGGGTTGGTTTATAAATAGTGATGACCAAATGGACACAAAAAATAACCTTTAAAATACAAAACATTAGTGAATGTTGTAGGTGTTCAGGTTGTAGTGCCTTCTGGGGCCAAAAGTATTCTGAAGATGATTTATTTAACAGAAGATGATTAACGGCTAGTTTTGAATAATATAACTATATTAAACTATTTTTAGACTCCAACACATGTATTTGCAGTGAGTGTGGATTTTAAGGCTCAGAAATAGCAGTAGGAAAAATAGTTTTGTGAGAAAAATCTATGGATGTTTTCAGGTTTGTTCTAAACAGCTCATTGAAAGCTAGATCATTATAAAAATAATTATGTTACATAATTTTGGCCTTTTCATTGACATAAAAAAAAAAAGCTGCATTATTTGTTGATTTGTCCAATTGGCTTGTGTTGTTCTGACACTCAGCTCTTTTGGCCCCACATGAACAGATGGACCAGGACGAGGGAAAGAGACCCATGGAGTCGAGGCGGAACACATAACACAGCACTGACCACCCTAATTGTGGAGGTATTAACTGTTGTAACAATAACAAAACCTGCCCATATCACCTACAGTTATGTCTCTGGAGATAAATCATTCCAACTGATCCCAATTCAAGAGAGACATTGACAAACAATCTCTATCTACACACAAAATAATCTAAAAATGGCTTTTAGCTATCAAAAACGAATACAATGTGTCTATAAAAAGCAATATTTTTTATTGGAGAAGTGAAAACGTCTTCATACTGTACCTCTCGACTTCTACCTTTGGTAGGGAATCATTGGAATGTGTTTTTGTGACTTTTATTATTATGTTGTGCTTTTTATCATTGTACAACAAAACCATTGTCAAATCTGAGAGCATTTGTTGAGTCAGAGGGAGGTCAAATTGGGGATAAAATCAGAGCAGAGAATGGCTTTATAGAGACATATCAGATGGAGACACATCTGGGAAGTTGACAATAGAGATTAGTCCTACATCCAGATAAGATGTTAAGAACAACAATGCACTAACATTTTTATCTGCTCAAAATGCCATTTTTTTGGTAATCAACAATGGTAGAATCACACTAACAATCATTTGTTTTCTG